ACCAAGCAGTGGAGCAGCAGTTACCAAGAGGCGGTTGCACGACGGTTACAAGGGATGACTATAAATAGGAGAAACGAAGACGAAGCAAGGGTTCCACAACCAATCATTTGACACACCATGTCAAAATTTATCTTTTCTCTGCAACTTGCCTTTTAGTTTTTCGGAGCTCTCACTGAACCTCCATAGGAGTAGAGTAACGTAGCTTGTTCCCAAAAAACCATCAAAACATCAAACACCCTCGTTCGAACATTGTTCGGAGAGGAGTGGACCGTGTAATTATCGTTGTTCAAGAAGTCAAAGGTGCAATCATTGTGTTCAAACACCAGTTTTTCCTCGCCGGAAAACAATTTGGTACCATAAAAGAATTCAAATTATTCAGTATCTAAAAATATATAAAATTTTTTTTACTACATCTTGATCATTCATGGATAAAATTCTTTATCAAAAGTAAACAACACAACTCATGCTAGTAACCAAAACACACTTCAATTTACTCTTTGTTGTTAAAAATTACTGCGAATTTCCTTTTAGATTTCTTTTTGATTGCTCCGGCATCAAAAGCTTCTTCTCCACACCATTTCATATTTATTAATGAAAATTTATATTCACCATCAATAGTCTTTTCCTTCTTCTCCTGCATTTCATTAAAACCTAATTTTAATGGTAAAATGTACAGAAATGTGAAACATCTATTCACGGTAGTAGAATTTCACCTTATACAAATCATAAATATTATCAACAATTCGTTATTTTCTTTCATCATGGATATTTCTACATCCACCATCAATAATCTCTTTCTTTATCTCAATAACGTCGTTATTACCATCACTGAATTCACTATCTCTGCTATTAACATAGTCTTCCTTCTTCTCCTGCATTTCACTGAATGTAAAAATTTAGTGGCAACATTTTTTTAATTGTGAAACTCTATTTCCAAGAATTTAATTTACGCGTACATGTCATTAACTTTGTCTGAGATGTTTCTTCTTCATCATTTATTTTCTACAAAACTGTGTACCCATTTATGAGGTTCATGATGTTGTAATCAGTGAGCTTGATCTAAAGATTTAACTTCATGCTCTCGGTTTGTATGAAATGAGAAGGTGAATGTCCTCTCATTTTGCCACAATCTTTGAGTAGTTTCTCAATATACATTCCATAAAATCTAACTTCCTGCGATACAGAACAATAAAGTTAGATTAAACAAATGTTGACTACAACTCGAACAATAAAGTTAGATTAAACAAATGTTGACTACAACTCACAAATAATCATGGATCTATAAATAACAACAATTGAATATATAATTTGATTGAAAACTTTATGGTTTAGTGGGTACGCTGTTTTCTTTCTAATGAATGAAGTTGAAGTTAAAAACAATAGAAGAGTAGAGGTAGATTGTTACCTAACTACTATTTTCTTTGACGTGGTTGTATAATTCTTATAAAATTACTCATCATAGCCTTCTTCAACTTTTCTTTGGCAAGTTCCAATAAATATGATTTTTCTAACCCATTTTAAATCAGTGTTGAAACAAATGAGATATAGTTTGCTAAATTTGGGAGAAATTGAAAACCCCTTAACTATATCTCTTGAGATATGTGCAAGCTGTAACTATAAAGGTTACACACCAAAATTTCGTCCCCTTAACTATAGCTCTTGAGATATGTGCAAGCTGAACACTGTTTTTTCAAAAAGATAATTCTCAAAGGTGAATATATTTTCGAGATGTAGAATCAATAAATGTAGTACTCAATAATAGTATAAATTAAATTAAAACTCAATATAATACCGAAGCAGTAATAACATGAAAAATAATATGTTTGTGTCAAAGGACGTTTTGATAAGAATTATCATCACACTAATTCTCTCATCAATATTTGATCAAAATCAAGCGAAGTTATGAAAAAAGAAATTACAAAAAAGGAAAGCAAACAGAGTTGCCAATTTGCCGCTATGGTAAAAAAAATTATACTTTACAAACCTAGATGTAAGGTGGTATGATCTCATATGTTTTATTATTTCCCAAAAAAAAAGCTAGGAAAGAAATTATCTAGCTATTGGATTTAAACTTTGAAATTATAGTCTTTATATGGAGATTGTGATCTACATTTCATTACTCTGAGGGTAAACCAATACCCAAAAGAAGAATTGAGGAATAAACTAATAATTAATTAAAAAATCATTGATATTGATAATTATAATCCTTGTCATTAACAATTCTCATTAACTATAAAAAAAAACAATTCTCATTTACGCGTTTGAATTTTTTATTTTGCATATGTGTTATTGAAAACCTCCAATCCAAAATTATAATAAAAAAGTATTTGATTTGTTAAGTTATTAAGAATTAGTTAATTAGCAAAGACACATATAAGACTTTATCTCAAACACTTAACCTTATAATAATAAAAAATTAAATAAGAAGCTAAACCTACATAGAGAGGCACGACCCTCAGCTAATCTTTCCTAACTACAAATAATAATATAATAATTGGTTTGAGCAAAATATCTGACCGAAATCTTTTTGGGTTAATATATTATTTTAGTATGAACTATGACCATACAATCAACGTTGGCTCGTGATTTCAGAAATTAACATCATGGTCTCAACTATGCAGCATATATACTCAATAGGCTTGACTCGTGAATTTCAATCAAATTAGACGGTACCGTTAGTGAATCAGCATGCCACTCTAACGTGGATGCCATGTGGAAAATAAAAATTTAATAATTTAATAAAATAAAATAAAAATCTTCATTCTCTCTCCTCACTCAGCCCACACATCCCCATACCTCACCCAACCTTCCTTCCCCGACGATCCCTTTCCCAACCCACTCTCTAACATACCCAACTGCAATACTAACCCCAATTGCAAAAACCCATATAGTCAAAAGCCTCTTCTTGGGTCTTTCTTCCCTTCCCCTGCTTCTTGTCTTCTTCTTCTTGCCCATTTCAGATATTTCGATTCTCTTTCTGGGTTCAGTCGGTGGCAGAAGAGGCAAATGAGAGAGGCGCTCGACGGAGATGGAAGCTCCGTTGCTCTTCTTCTTGTCGCAGCTTCTTGAGTGAAAATTTTGGCCACAACGAGAACCATCAAAATCCAGGCTTTCCTCTTCCCCTATTTCAGTGGCATCATCGCTCGAACCCAACTTCTTCCTTCCCAACAGTGGTCGCGAGTCTATCGGCAACCCTCCATCTCGGTCGCCAACCCATAACCCACAATCAGTTAGACCGAGCCCCAATCCCGAATCCTAAATCCGAGCCCGAGAATCTTGTTTGCAGGGGAAGGGGAACATATTGCTAGGCTGAAAGGGGAAGATTACAGATAATGGAGTTGCCGCTTCACGGGAGCTGTCGCCGCAGATTTCGAAGGGGTTTTGGAGAGAAGACAATGTGACTTTGAGGATTTTGGATTGAGCTCATTCACTCTGTTCTTGGTAATGGTGGAAACGGAGATACATGGAAGAAGAAAGGTATGGAGAGGATAAGTGGGGTGGGTTCTGAAATTATTTTATTTTTTCCATTATTTATTATCTTATTAATTAGATAAAGGAAACAATAAAATATTTTGAATTTTGAATTTTTTTTGGTTTTGTGCTGATATGGCAATGACCTGGATCGTTGACTAACGGTCATCAGTTGACCGTTCAAATTGACGGTCAAACCATGAGTCGGGCCAATTGAATATGTATGGTGTATAGTTGAGGCCAGGGTGGGAATTTCTGAAACCACTGACCAATGCTGATTATATGGTTACAGTTCGTGCGAAAATAAGGTATTAACCCAAACTTTTTCCATTGGTATAATTAACAAACTGTTTTGGATTTTAATTAAAATGACAAAAATATCCTTCCTAAATTTACTCAGAAGGTTGGAAATTTAAAATTGAGCACATTCTAACGGAGAACCTCTTCATCTAAGTGTTAGGGTTAGGATTGTAATGATAAACGTTGCATGTAAATTCCCACTTTTAAGCTACAATTAAGAACAAAATGAGCAGAGCCATGAGCTTCCACTGCCATAGACAACGTGTGATTCATAACACCCATATTTCTCCTGCTCCAAACTTCTTTACCTCGACATGATCGCACCGCCCTCTTCCATGGAAGAGCTGTGGCTATGTCCGACATAACTGTTGACACCATCGCCCGTGTGTTGTTAAGGTTGAAGAAATCTAGGTATATCTCCTAGCAGGGTAACAAATGACTCAACAACACATAGTTTTAACGACTCTTCAAAAACAAACATAAGCACATTGTGGTAAGGGAAAGATAACAGAGCTTCAGATTTGGATCCAAATCTGCTCTTCCACTCGCGATCCATGCTCTGGTTTCGTCGCCACTAGCAAGATGAACCTGCAAATTGAAGAATGGGTTGAAATGGGTCTGGTTTCTGTTACGGCAAAAACAAACAATGAAATGTGCCTACTCACCTCTGAGTTGTTGGAGCTGAAGTGGTTTATTTCCAGCAATGTGGGATTGGTGATGATGTCGAATGTTGCATTCTCGTCGAGCTTACGAACCTCTCCTCCAAACATTAGAGGGGACTTGGACCATGGTGTCATCTTTTGATCAGAATTCAGAAGAGCAACATAAATTACAGATTGTTTCTTCACTACTCAACCAAGCTATGTCATGAGTGATTATGAAAACTGACCTACCTGAGTCCTCTACTCATCTAGAGTGAGCCTAGATGCAATGTAGTCAAAAGCGAGTTTCTACGTAAAAACGTTTTGGTGATGTAAAAGTGTAAAATTGTAAGTTTTTAACTACATAAGTTATAAAAACTGAGAATTTCTGTAGAAGCGTTTTAGTGAACTAGAAACGTAAAATCGTAAGTTTTTAAAGCGCAATTTTGGCTACATTGCCTAAATGGTCTATGTGGTCCATCATTCGAGTATGAAAAAAGACCGCGAAAAACGTTACTTGCGAGTTAGGTAATCGAAATCCAGAAATGGAAGAGGGATTTTTTTTTGGGTTTGACCTAGATCGGTAAGCTATCCCAAGGGCAACATGTCCAAGTCAGTCCATGACTTGCCAAGCAAGCCAGAGCCACCAATCATCTCAGCATCAGCAAAGTCCCTGAACTCCCAGAAAAAAACACAACATAGACAGTTCTAAGTCCATAATCGAACCAAGAACAAGGAAGACGAAAACGCGAATTACGTACGATATGTACAATATGGAAACCTTGTGATGTTCAAATGGGATGCTACATCTCTCCAACTGTCCCAATCGTCGATGGTTATTCGGTACATGTTGGCCAATCCGCTGACCTGCTTGGCCATAGATGGTGTCGCCGAGGTCCCAGGAGAAAGAGAATATGTAATGGGATGATCAGCCTCTTTCATCATCTGTACAACAACAACAATAACAACTGTCATTCTTCAATCTTTTCAACATCTCAAGTTACCAAAAACTCAAACTAGTTGAATCCTTTTTAGTTGTCATTCAAATTTTTTTTTTTTTTTCATTTACCTGGGATACAATGGTGATCTCATCCACACTCAAGTCACTCCCGAAGACACAATCATGTTTAACTGCAATAAAAATAGCAAGGTTGGCAACAATCGATGGGACCCATTTTGAAATTTTCTAAAAGTTGAAGGAGCTAAAACTTTGATCCTTGAACTTTGATAGGTTTCTCGAATGAGCCCTATAAACTTTTCCTTCTCTAGAACGATCTGTTAAACTTCATCACTTCTCGAAATCAAGTCATCCACCGATCTTTCTCTTTGATGTGGATCTTGATCAGTTCAATCAACAACTTTGGAAGGAAAAAAAACAGTCTCCTGAATGAAATGTCTCTCTTCAAGAGTAGTTTAGAAATTTTTCGAATACGAAGTTGCTTATGTGGTTAAGTGGGGCCCATAATGAAAACTCCGTCTAAGTTGACACAAAATGTTCATTTGGTACAAGTCATAAAGTTCGAGGACTCGGATTGGAAAAAAAGCAAAATTTTATGGCCTAGTTTGAGAAAGCTACCAGAGTTCATAGCCAAAACAATAGCATTAATCCAATTTATGACCTTTTTTGGAGAGGAACTTACTGAAGTCAACACCCCATTCTATATACTGATGATGGATCGACTTCAAGAAAGCCTTACCAGCTCCCAAGCTAGTGTTTACACTCATGAAACCTTCCGGCATCCATCCGCATACCTTCTCATTCATCCCTACATCATGTGCCCTCCATTGCCGACCATCTTCTTCATAAGCAGACCCCTTTAAAGTTAGCAGAAAAAACTAAGCCATCGTCTTCTTGTATTTTACAATCCATAGCAACCATGAGAAGAAAGAAATACCTTACCACTACAATGTCCAAGATAAGAGAGTTTGCATCATAAGCTTGAACGCTTATCCCTCTCATGATATGAATCCCAAACTTGAGTCCCATGGAGTGAACCCTCTTGGCCACTTCACCGAATCCTTTGCCGCCTTTCGATGAAGGCCACCGATCTGGATCAGGGGTTACTCTCCCCCATTCGTCGATCACATCGAAGCCACGGGAGTTTGTGGAAGCTCCTAGTGTCGTTCTTCTATACCAGAGCCCAGAGGTAATGCACCACCACGTACTACAGAGGCCAAGATCATGATCTTAGCAAAAGCTACAATTTTGTATGTCACAGAGAAGCATGGTTCGTTTTTTTTAAGCTAGTGATACCTCGTATCCATGAGGGAGGAGACGGCGAGAGACAATCACGGCACTTTGTAAGAAGTCTTGTTCTGAGATTGTCCAGCAGAAGGAATCGTATGAGTTCCATCCTCTTAGTGGAAGAAGAGCATGATTCTCTGCCACTTCTCCACTTTGCTTCCGATCACGATCCCTGAAAAAGGGATTTGGGTTGTGTTTTGATGATAAAAAAACAAGCATTTGAGATTGAGAGGTAGAGAAATGGAGGAGGAAGAAGCAGAACCTGAAAACAAGGAAACCCAAGAAGAAAAACAGAGTACCTAGTAAGAGAAACAGAGGAATCGCCACTTTGATGTACTTATTCATCCTCTTCCGCTCCAATCCTTGCTCTGTTTCTTCCTTATCTAGCTGCAGACTTGAAGAAAAAAGGTTGAAACTTTACGAGGATTGGCATCGGGTTGCTGCAAGCTTCCTCTGATTTCTTTCGCTCTGCTTCTTAAACAGCCCGTAGCTCTCATCGCCATGTCTGTTTGTCTTTATTTCTGATCATTTTTAAATTAGCTTTCAGTGGGGTTTTGCCCCCTCAATTATTGAGTGTTCCCATTTTTCCTTCGATTGATTTCGATGTCTTTCCGAACTAAGTAGGAACTAGCTTTTTACCCGACCCGTTGGTCGGATGAATTTAGTTTTATTTATTATATTTTTATATTAATCTATTTTTTCATATTTTCAAATAATTTGGGATCGTCTAAATAATTTATTAGTGGGTTGAAACTAATATTTGTGCGAATTATTGATTGTAACATTAGTTAGTTTATAAGTATTTGTATTGATCATGCTATCGCTTACTGTTGTCTATATATTTTTTACATTTAAGAAAAAAATCACTTCCTATTGTTAGAATAAATTACTTAAAAAATATTTCTTCATAAAATTTGATATTATTCACTTATTGTTCTATTATATCCATGAAAATAAAATAATTAAGCATTGAAGTATTAATTATAAACTCCAAGGGATTTTCCCTATTAGTAATTTGGAGGGATAAAAATTTATCAAATAAAGGATTCAAATTTTATGGTCGACAACCATTAGGTACTAATTGAGAAAATAAAAAATTATTAACTAACAATTCACTTTTAAATAATATATATCTCCAAAAGCAGTTGTGGTTGTTAATAGCTAACATTAATGTATACGGATAGTACAATTGTATTATAATGGACATATCTGAAATATTCCAATTATTTCTTCAAAATTTTAATTAAATAAGGCACTCTATAGTTCAAACATACAATCATTTGTTGTGAAAATTAAGTTTCTGAAAAAGATTCATGATTTTAGGAAATCAATATGGATTTTTTATAATTGATTTTGGTGTTGCCTTTGATATCTAAAAGTCAACACTTATAGATTTGTCTACTATGTCATTTGAAAGATTCTAAAAATTTATAACAAATATGTACCACCAACAAATAAAAACTTTTTTGTCAAAAATTTGTGTGCCCATAAATTTGTTCTTAGCTTTGTGTTCGGCTTTTAGCTCGATAGTATAACATATGCTAAATTTACGACAGTCCTTGTGTCTGCCACCTATTTCATAGCATATTAGGTTTCGAGTATCCACAAATATTAGTACGCTTTCAACAATTATGTTTATAGTTACACGTATACTAACATTATGAAGTGAAAATTTACAACAATAAATAAATATAATAAAGAAAATTAATTAAAAAGAATACCATCCGTAAAGCTCAAGAATTATGAGTGAATTAGTTGGTAATCTATTATCCTCTTGCAAAAAAATGGACAATTACATTATGCTCATCGCTATTTTTGGAAGGTCAGATGATCAACAATAAAAGTCGGGGAATTTCAAGAAGATTCCCAAAGATGTTTCCCTCCCTCCAGGCAAATGATCGACTTTGCTTTTGCTAGTAGAGAATGGAGCTGTTATACCTGCATAAAACAATGTCTCTTGAAATAGTGTTTATTTTCAACAACTTGCACAATTCCAAATTGATTCATAGGTCAACGCGATCACATATTTTATTGACTTATCTGTTGATCATTATAATTAGAAGCAACAAATAAAATGAAAAGCATAGTGATAAAGATGACTATTAATACCATAGACCGATAGACGCATCCCTCTTCGCTACTTTCTGTTGGCAACTATGGAAAAATAGAAACCTCTGGGCCTTCGAGAGACTATTGGCGCCGGCAACCCAGTTAGCCTACCAAATCCGGCAAATGCGAGTGCAGATTGATCAATCTTCCAGGAGGATTGGGCAGGTTCTCGGGGAGGCTACAGAGCGGGTGGAAAGGGGAAATAGAATAGGGTTTGGGATTTTCACAAAAAGGCTACAATTTCCCCTTTATTAGTTGTTCTGGGCGTCGCCCACCAAAGTGAAAACGCGTCTCCGAGTGCCCAGAGCTAGACTGAGCGATTTCCTCCTGCCCAGCTATTAATCGCGCCTAGGCGAGAGATTAATCGCGTCTTCTTGAACAGTGAATAAAAGTGGACCAAACAAAGACATTACATCCAACTCATTCCAGTTCCATCTTAACACAGTATCAGAGGCTTGTACTATTATTATACAAATGATCTTACGCTCTCAATTAGGAACTAAACGAAGGTTAAATACTTGATTGGCAAACTAAATCGATGAACCTAGTGATCTTAAAGAAAAAATTAATGATCACATGATTTCTTGGACCAAACTACTAAAGAAAAAAAAAGAAAAAAGAGACCGTACATTAGCATAAGAACTCAACAAATTACTTATAAGAACTAATGATATAAGGAAAATGTAAACTCAAACCATTCTTCCGAAGGTCATGGATTAAATCATTAGTTGTCGATTACATAGCCTAAACTGCAAGTTATATCCAAAATAGAGGCAATTTAGAAACAAAAATGTTAGATAAGAAAGCCGTGAAACACAGAAAAATTGAGTGAACAAAGTGGGAAGTATTGCTTTCAATTAAGCTTGATTATGTTGACATAAAGCAGGCACACATTGACGTTGGAAACCTAAACAAAAAGCTTAAAAAGTGGCAAGAGAATTCTTCCCTTGAGGTTCAAATATAGCCTACCTATATGAGTAGAGCTAAGTAATTACCATGATTCCATTTTACACATACCATCTCACAACCAACTGCTGCTAATGCTCTGGTCCGTTCCAAACCTCACCTGCTCATATCTCCAATACCATATCACGAAACCAAGAATTATACACAACTAAAAGATCCAATAAGGAGAGTAACTTAGCATGGAACTTTGTGATGGGGGCAAATTCTATGGTCAGTATTAAGCTGTGCTAATTATATCACCTCTGCAAAGCTCACTACTTCCAGTAGTTTCTCACAGAACCAGCTACCGTCCTAATGCCTTCCTTCCTTCCTTCCCAGGGTCAGAGTGTGAAAAATGGCGTCCATCTCCGCCACAACCACAGCTTCTTCCTTCATCCATGCATCTCTCCTTCGCAACCCCTCTCTAGGGGTTTCCTCCACCCCAGTTCTCGGTGAGTACTCTTGACGCCCCCCTCCCCTGAAATTCACAATTACCTCTGGCTTTTATCAATTCAGCTTGGGGGAACCAAGAAATTGAATCGATTGGGTGATATGCAGGGCTGCCGTCGATGGCGAAGAGAGGAGAGTGGTGAAGTGCTCGGCGGAAGGAAACAGAAGCAACAGCAACGGGTGGGATAAGAAGGGGATGATGAGCGCTTCGCTGATGGCGGCGGTGGCCGCAGCAGCTGCGTCGAGCCCAGCAGCGATGGCTCCTCAACGGATGCGAGTAGCTGGAGCGATTTGTAGCGACCTTGTAGAGGCTGAAGCAGAGAAGAAAGAAGAAGCAGGGTTCGTGGCGGCGGGGGAGACGGTGGTGGCGGCGGCAGTAGTTGTGCTTCTCGCCGGAAGGGAAAGCCTCGATCGTCGACAACCTCTTCGCCACGGAGATCGTTCGCTGCACTCCCAAACGCGATCTCCTCAATCGCAGCAGAAGCGGGCCGTCACTGCTTTCCGCCACTGACCACTAAAACGTCTGGTCGTCTTCCCATGAACTCAGCAACAGCCGGCCGTCAGCGCCTTCCTCCGCTGAACACGAAACCGTGACGCCTCTTACCAGAATTTTTCGATGGAAACTGATTCTCCTCCTGTCCTGCGGGTAGGCGAAAGGATAACCCAGTAGAAAAGGTGGTATTTCAGCCAAACGAAAATTAAATGAAAAATAAATGATAACTAAATGATAACGTGGGAAATCAGGAGAAAAAGGTGGGTAGTGGACGATTCTTAGTTCTGCAATCTGGCGGGGAGTTCTATTTTTTTCCCGCTCAACTCCCTGCCACATCAGCTTCCTAAAATCACTCTATGGACAGGAAAATTTGAATGGGGGTGGTAGTTTTACTTTTCAGCTATAAATTATACTGTTGATGCGTTAGGGTGGTAACTAAAATTTTAGTAACCACCGTGGCTACATCACTATCTGCCGTCCATTTTTCTTGTTTTCCTTTTTTTAATCTCACGGTTAATTTTGTTTCAGGGCAATTTTGAAAAAAAAAAGAGTCTACACCTGATTATTCTATATATTCCACTCAAACCCTAATCTACCATCCCTCCAGCCAACTGCCGGCTACCCGCCCTCCTCTCTTTCTCCTCCGCCCACCACCTCCGCTCACCTCCTCCACTCCCCTCCGCTCCCCCCACCGGCCCTCCCTCCTCCTCCTCCTCCTCCTCCTCCCCACAACCGCCAACTCTCCTCTCTCTCTCTACCCAACCACCCTCCCCCTCCCCTGCCCACCAGCCACCACACCGCCCACTCCCCTTTTTCCTTCCCTGCCCACTTCTCTCTCTCTCTCTCTCTGGGATACGACTGTGGCTGGAAAAGGTGGTATGAATAAAAATCCTAGATCTGATTTTTCCCTGCATTGGTAATGATTTTTTCGTAGTGGTAGTGTTTTTTTCGCATTTGTAGTGATATTTTCGTAGTGGTAGTGTTTCTTCGCATTGGTATTGTTTTTTCCGCATTGGTAGTGATTTTTTCGTAATGGTAGTGTTTTTTCGCATTGGTATTGATTATCATGTAAGTGTATTGCTTTTTAGTGAATGGTAGTTTTTTTCCTGTAGCGGTAGTGTTTTTCACATTGGTCTTTTTTTTTCATTGGTATTGATTATCATGTAATGGTATTGATTTGCATTTATTGATATTGATAAATCTGCAATGGTATTGGTGTTTTGTGAAATGGTAGTGTTTTTATTTCTCGAATGGTATTGGTGTTTTATGCATTGGTAGTGTTCTTTTAATGGATTGGTATTGTTTTATTGTTGCAGCGGTATTAGTTCAACTGAACGAAAACAAGGAAAAGATTGGAAAAAAAGAAGAGAGATGTGGCTGGAGATTGTGGAAGTGAGAGAAAGAGAAAGAATTATAATTAATATATTTGTGTAACTTCCTAAAATGTATTTTGTTAAAAAAATTAATTAATAATTTTGTCATACCCAATTTACCCTTAGTAAATAGTAATCACCGTAACCTGTCCCAAACTAAGTACGTAGAAATTCTTATATAAAAGCCTTGATTGCCCTAGAGGTTTTTTTGGTAATTGTACCAAAGTTTAAGGTCAATTTTTTAAGAGTGACTTGTGAGTTGTGACAATCTTTTAAAGAGACATATGGCAACATTTTCTTATCTTTTCCTTTTAACTTATGTTCTTCATATTTTAATTCTCTTCCTATTTCTTATATTTTGTTTGTTATTCTTAAATTGATTTGTTGTTCGTATTTGATTTTGATGCTTACTTATTTCTCCCGATCGAGACATGCTTTCGTATTTGATTTTGCATTTTTAATCATCTCTCTCGCTCGAGGTCGTATTTGATGTTAATGATAAAAAAGTATCACTCCCAATTGCGGCTCTCCTAGGGTTCCCTCATCTGGGATCCCTGGGGAAGAGGATCAAGTTGCCCCTTGCGTACACCTTGATGCACTATCTCCCTTCAACCTAGGGATGGCAATGGGGCGGGTTTTCCTAAACCATCCCCATCCCCATCTTCAAATACCCAAACCCATACCCGCCCCATACCCATGCGGGGGAATGTTTTGCAAACCCATCCCCATACCCGTGGGTTTCGGGTACCCATGGGTAATACCCATCCCCGTACATCCAACATTATTATACCTAAAACTTACAAGAAAAGTTTTAATTATAACCATAAACAAACCTATTATACATGAAGTCAACAAAACACGGTCATTTTCTAAATACGATTCAAAGAATATGATCCTAAAACATCCATTAATACATAATATAGACTACAATATTTTTTAAATTATTATGCTCTAACTCTTGATACATTTACTAAGTAATAATTAACTAACATAATCTTGTTGACAAGGGGGAAAGTGAAAGAGTGGAAGGAGAATTGAGGGAAATGAATTAGGTTTTGATTAAGGTGGTTACTCAATTGCATTTCTACTTTTTTATTTTCTCGAGTTATCATCATCATCATTGATATATTACAATTTAATCCACATATTTTTTTATATGTGAAGAAATTCTCTTGGTGGGGCGGGTATGGGTATGGGGCGGGGGAGGCTAAAACCATACCCGCCCCATACCCATCAAACTTTTTGCGGGTTTTACCCATACCCGCCCCATACCCGGTCAAAGCGGGGATTCCCCGCGTTGACTGGGTCGGGGGCGGTCGGGTACCCGGGGCCATGAGTTTGATTGCCATCCCTACTTCAACCCTTTAGCGAAATGCGGCAAAATGAAGGAAAATCCATGGACCGACCCCATTGTCTCCACCCCGTATGAACTACGAGATCACTCCAAGGTCGCCTTCGGCATCCAGGGGTCGCAGACCGACCATAGAACCCTGCTCAATAAATAAGTGGAATCCATTAGCTGTCCGCTCTCAGGTTGGAAAGTAAGGATCGGAGAAGTGCAATTACTCATTCTTAAAGTCTGAGTTCTCCCAAAAAAAGAAAAATAAATTCGAGGGAGGGGTCAAACTTTCTTGTCATTTTTTTAATATTAATAATTAGCAAAGGTAACATGAAGTATAATGTGAATATATTCTAAATTAAGTAATAGTTGGAATAATGTACGATATATTCGATATTAGAATATAGAAAATATAAAAAAGAAAAATCGAAATCAAATAAATTTGAATAGAAATAGCTAAATAATAGTAATAATAAATAAATGATTTTTATACTTTCTAAAAATACCTTTCTCTTTCTATTCTATTTAAAATAGACTAATATATAGTCTATATAATAGATTCACATAGAAATTCAGGAATTTCAGAATTATGGTCCTAGCCAAACCGAGGAGATCTGAATTCACACCGGTTTACTAGAATTACTTAACATAGATCTCTATGATTGGATTAGGTATCATCCGAACCACTATTGGTCATATTTCTCAATAAATATCCACCATAAAAGGGCCAAGCCATAACAGATGAGAAGTTATACGACTCAACTCCAACAAAATATCTCTGATATAGCTGGCTCTTTTCGGTACTTGAATATTTCCCAACTGTTCTGTTCCATTTACTATTATTGCTTCTGTGAACATAGTAGCTAAATAATCCCAACGTGTTACATAAGGCAAATATTGTATAATTGTTCGGTTTCCCCAATTTTTCTCATTCCTCTGTGTAAATAACCTAATATCGGTTCACAGTCAATAACATCTTCACCGAATAGACTCTAGAGTAACAATAAGTCTTAGAACACCATGCATTGATGGGTGCTGGGGACCCATATTAACTATCATAAGGTCTTTTTTTTGGAGACTGTACATTCATAAAGGGTTCCTCGCTTCATTCGTCCATGAATTCCTTAAAACTAAAAGAACCTCATTAAAATGACCTATTTGTATTTGATTTGAAAACAAAAAGAGTTGTTATTAAAAGAACAAGAATTAACAATTATAAGATATAAGAAGGATTCTTTCTAGTCTTATAATGTTCTTAGGATAGAGGATCAAATAATATAAAATCCCGCTTTCTAAATTTCATTAGATGTCTATCACGAAAGAGAAGATGTTAAGAGATGGTAAGATTCAAATTTTCAGAATCGTTTCGTTTATGGTACGATCTGATCTTGATCACGACCAATACTCTTACTCTACAAAAGGTTCTTTTCTATACAATAATTAAATACTGCGGTGAAGATACTGTAGGGGAGGTCCTGCGGAAAAATAGCTCGACGCCAGGATGATAAAAAGCTTAACACCCCTCATTCTTATTAGTTTTTCAATATGACAAAAATGAAAAGGTCCTCTTATTTAAAACCCTAATTATGAAATCCCTTCTCTCCCACTTCACACCGCGGAACGCACCGTTCTTATAGAGAGAGAGGCGCTTTCGCATCTTCTTAACCCGAAATGGCTGGGGAGAGGAAAGGTTCCTTTTTTAGGGTACTCCGGGAACAGATCCAGTGGAGACGGGGTGGGGCCTGTAGCTCAGAGGATTAGAGCACGTGGCTACGAACCACGGTGTCGGGGGTTCGAATCCCTCCTCGCCCACAACCGGCCAAAAAGGGAAGGACCTTTCCCTCTAGAGGAGAAGAACGGAAATTATTTGCATGCGTATTCGAATCACGTGTATATCGATTAAGCATTTTCCAATTTCGAATTATAGATTGACAATCTTTGTGAGTTTTCTGTCTATTCAACTACATGTGGTTGGTCACGCTTGTTTTAACTACGTGTGTTCCGACGATCCATTTTTCATTTTTGAATCCTTATCGATAAGAAAAAGAAGACCACATTAATTGATTTTAGCTAGAAGTTCGTGTTTGGTTTTGCCCCATTATTTATCTCTTTAGCGATTTGCTAGATCCGAGTACACCCGCAAGGTGGGACAACGGAGTCACTATAGTATAGTACTCATTGAAGAACAAGAGAGCCACATTAATGATTTTCAAAATGTCTTTGTTGTTCCCCAATCGTTACCTATTCATTGGCCAAAGATTCCTTTTTTTTTTTTTTGCTTCACCTTATTGCAAAATGTGTTTTCTCGATTCTTATTTGGCTACTTAGATGTTCCTATTCATCAAATGAGAGCTAGGTCTGCATTTTTTTCTTACATTCTTTACAGGTTAGTTTATTCTCTCTTACAATCACATGTAACATTTCACATTACTCGCTTTACGCGTAGCGAGCGGGCATGTCTAGTTTTATATAAGAGTGTCTTTAAAAAAATAAATTACATTAACAATTTGAAATTTAATTAAAATTATTAAAAAGAAAATCTCCAACTAGTATAAATTAGAACAAAAATTCATGACGTGTTATTATATTTTGAAAAAAAAAATTAACAAAATGTATTTATTGTCTAAAGTACTCAACAAATCTTTTTCAATATATCTTACTAGACAATTATTCGCGAACTAATCGCATATTCCATTCTGAAACTTTTTCTTGATGTGACCCAAATATGAAAAAGCTCTCTCAACACTTGAAGTTGCAATCGGTAAAATCAATACAACTTTGAGGAGCAGATAGTCTCATGGATATGGTAGATTGAATTTTGTCTCAACCATCAACTCAGCTAATTAATTAGTTCATTTTAATCTAAAAAAACTTAACACAATCATAATAATTCTCAAAATCCTGTAGAAGAAAAGAATAAGAAATGTGACAAACTCTTTAAGATAAAATCGTGCGCTAGAAAACGGTTGGGATGAGGGGTAGTTCGTAGGTTTAATTTTAGGCTTTGAAATTTTTGGGATAAGGGCTACACAATTATAATTACATTTATGATAAAATTGCAACAACAAATGAAGTGTAGTCAAACACAAAATATGTTCACCAATAACTAGATTCGAATCATATATACAAACAAGAATGTTGCCCGGTCAATTACCCGGAGTGTGTTTCTTCAAATTTTTAGTTTATCAAATAAATCGGTTATCATCTCATATTCGCTCTACTACAATATTTGTACTTTTCATTATACCTCTTTCAAGAAAGATTTTATTAGTTGAAGAGAAAGTAAACATGAGAGTAGGGATGCCAAAAATATCTACACTGTTCGAATCCAACCTAATTTGGTAGGGTAAATTCAGAATCAAAAGAATTTTCTGTGGGAATTCTAAAAAATAGAATCTGAACATTGTGAGTAATGGGTGGATATGATTTTATCATATATAACATTTTCATGCAATTATGTTCTCTTTAACTAATTTTCGTCTATTTAGTGATGTATTTTTATACTTTTTCACTTATATAACTAGCAGTATGCCCGATCAGTTGGCCGGATGAATTTTTATAATCATATTGATAGGAACAAACGCGAACAATGTGATCAAATTGATTAAAATTTTCCCTCAATCAATTAAGTGATTTAAAGTTCAATAGTCAAATTGATTTTCAACACATTTGATCCATTTTATGCATATTATAAAAATATATGCGTCGAGCATAAATTTAAGATTTTAATAATTGAAATATAACTCATATTTCTAAGCATCATTTTGTATATAATAAAGGTTTAATACACTTGTATATCCAAAAGTATCACGGTTGTGCCAATAATATCCAAAAATCCGGAAATACCACTTATATCCATGTTTTAAAATTGTTATTTGCCAAATCTATCCACTTCCGTTAAATACCTTGACGGCGTTAATAACTCCGTCAACATCGCTGACGACAAGCTGATTGTACGCCATGATTTGAGTTGGCGCCCACTCGGGATTAATTCTGAATCTCTCGAGCATATCCTGTGCAATCCAGTGGGCAGTCACTTGGTTGACCCGCAGTTGTCTTGCACAAGAATGTGGCAGCCCGGTTTTCCTCACCATGAAGCTCTGATTCCGCCTGAACCAGCTAGTATATACCCTCCATTTGCAGTTCTTGTCCTTGCATTTGACCTCTCTTCTTGATTTCTCAACCCTAACCCATCTCAAACCGGCCCCAGCAGCTACAGAGTGGCGAACCACAGCTGTCTTAAATTCCTCAGGACTTGCAAACTTCATCCGCGGCACGAACTGGAGAACCTTGTGGTTACAATATGGATCGTATTGCGGTGCATCGTCGAAGATGTCCCCACCTTCCGAATCAGAAAGATTGGCTCTTACATGGTTGGAATCCTCAGAGAGCCTGTAACTCGAATGGTTCGAGTCTGCTCGCCTAGCTTCTTGCATTGGAGGTACCTCGGCCGGTTCATTCACATCTTCATTCACACCATTACCTTCATTCACATCTTCATTCACACCATTATCCCCATTCTGACCATTATCCCCAGCCAATCCATCCTCCTCCTCAGAGTCATCACCAGAGGATTCGTCCTCCTCCAAAACATCAAGTTGTTCGACCTCCTCTCCACGGCCATCAATACGTGCCTTCACCTTTCTTCTCTTACTCTCCCCATAGGCTCTAAGATTTTCCATTTCTTCATGGTACTCGTCATCAGAAGTGTCTGCATCTTCTAAATCGTAAACATGGTATATTTCTCGAGCAACAGATGCCTCGACACCATCATGTGCAGCCAAGGAAGCAAATGGACTCTCCTGAACAGCATCTGAATAATTCTCTTCAAAAGCCTCATCCCATGAATCAGCCATCTGTAACAACTTTAATCAGTTTTTTAATCACCATTATCCCCATTAACAATTCTTTAATCATTAACTAACAAACAACTCGAAAAAAGCAACGATTGACATTATTCAATTCTAGGGTTTTTGCAAACAAAGGTAATGACAATTCTATCCAGAAGATTTAGCTACTCACCGTCAGATTCAGGTGCAAAATCGGTGTGGAATCCAGTCGAGTGGTCCCCTTGTTCTTCTGTCTTTACTCCTCGCTACCAACCAAAAAAGCAAGAGAAAGACACTACTATAAGAACTTTCCAACCAAAATCAACACTCACAACTACCAATTCAAAAGGGAGACTCACCTGTGGCTACAGACGAGGTTGCTCAGAAATCCCCATTTTCTGTGCGATTAGGGTTTCTTCGAATTCTCTCCTCGCGTTTCCAGGGTTCATCGCGATTAGGGTTTCCAGCGGAAAGGAAGGATGGGAGGAGCCAGCCTAAGCCCGTCGCAAGTTGTTTAAGCTACCGAAATCGGTGTTGGTCTTCGTCGAGGAAGGTGGGCGAGAAGGGTAGATCGACGAAGGATGAAGGAAAATCAGGGGATATGACGGATTAGGGCGGTCACTGCCTTCGTCCTTCTCCGTCGCCTTCGTCTTCTTCCGTCGCCTTCGTCAAAATCCGTCTCCTTCGTCGCCCTCCGCAAGCGAAGGGTTAGGGGTTCGTCGATGGAAAAAATGAGAAGGGTAGAAAGTTAGGTCGAGTCGAGGGTGAGGTCAGATGGGGGCAATTGAAATTTTTTTTGTTTAATTTTTTAAATAAAATTAATTAGCAATACACTGTGGATAAGTGAAGAGGAATTGGGAAATAAGCGTTCGCCACGTAAGCACCACCGTTTGTCCAGTCAGACTTAACGTTAACACCGTCAAAGAATGTGACGGAGTTGGATATAAGTGGTATTTCCGGATTTTTGGATATTATTGGCACAACCGTGATACTTTTGGATATACAAGTGTATTAAACCTATAATAAACT